GCAGAGAAGGGAGAAGGAGGCCATCCAGGCTACTTCAGGGAAGCTCAGTTAGGGCTCCGCCATTAGGTCATGCTTGGGTGACATTAGTGCCTTGACTAGTCCCCATCTCTGCAGAAAACCACATGTACAGACAAGGTTGGAGGTGAATTTTTTTTTTTTTTCACAGTGCTGCTTATTAGAAGCACCTATTTATTTCTCTTCGGAAGACTATTTTTGGGGGAACTAATTCATTGGACATCTTTAGAAACTAGAAGTATTGGTTCTCAAAAGGCTGAAGGACATGACTAGGAACAAAGAAAATTTGGGTTGAGTCGGTTTTATAAACTGGGTTGTCAGACGATGGGGGCTAAGGTAAGGGACCTCCTAGGAACGCGGTAAAGAGAATGTAGTCACAGTTACACCGGCAAGATCCCCCTCCAGCAGACTAGCCCTCGTGGGAATCAAGCGAGTCTTCCTTTCCTGTAAAGGGTTGGACCCTACTGAACTGCTGAGTGATCTTAAGGTTGGCACTCAACCATAACTGAGAGTGTGGGAAACGTACTTGATTGCACCACAGCGTGTCTGGAGATCGACAGCGAACAAGAAGGGTCCACTCAGCTGTGAACCCCGAGAGCCGCGGAGAGGGTTGCTGAGGCCGAAGGTGCGGTGCGCTCGCGAGCAGCCTCCGGGATTGGCGGAGTTCAGCGCACAGCTCCCATGCGCATGCCCTTCCCTCTGGTGCACCTGCAAGGGCCTGCGCGAGAGGCGCCAGCTCCCGCAGAAAGCACCCAGCAAACGCGGTTTCCTGTAGAAGCTGGAGCGAGCGCCCTGGGCAGGCAGACCCGCGTGCTCCAGGCTGGCTGACCCTTCAGTTCTCGTTGCAATCAGTAAGCTGGCAGCCTGCTCGCCGGGTCAGGCTCCGTGAGCTGGCAAACGGGAGCCGGCATCGCAGCCACAGGCACCTTTAGAAATCTCTGAGGGAAGGTTTCTGTGCCCCTGAGCGGCGGACCCTCCGCTGCAGAACATTCGCTATGGGAACCTTCGCAACACCCTGGTTCTTGACATGGTAGACAAACTCAGAAGGGTCCTCCGTGTCGATGGACATGAGAACAGTAACATCGCCTTCGGGTGATTTGAACAGTTTCTCTTCAAGACTCTAGAGCCTGCGACTTTTTCCTAAAAAGCAATCCTTCAGGAACATTATCGTTCAGAATATCTATTCTATTTTTTTTTCAATGACACTGGGAAGTTTTCTGCTGTTCTTGAGAGTTCAAGTTCCCCATTTTCCTTCAATAATGATGGCAGAGCATGTGCATTGCTTCCCTAGAGCTCTCGGAATATTTAATCTTTCCATTTCGATATTCAGTTTTACTGTCAAGTCTCAAAATAAACCGACAACCATTGAATCTCCATTCTCTCATAAATAGCTTACATAATTGCTCTAAAATATGCACCAAGAGATCACGGGGTGCTCTCCCCACCAGGGAACATCTTGAGAGAAAGCCCCAGAGCGTTTGTCACCTAGTGAGAGAGAATCTGCTGAGGACTCTCTGAAAGAAAGCCCTCCAGGAAATTCCAAAAGGCTCTGTGGTAACCACCTGAGTCCGTACCGAGCCGCCGCAGAAAAGAGCCAGCCTCGTCAGAATGCTTTGGTGATGCCTACTGATTCGAGAAGTCTGCTGCTGAATAAATGCTGTTTGCTGCTGTCTACCCCAATCATCCCAGACCGTCCTCCTTTCCGGGTGAATGGCTGCAGCCTCAGCCACTGGCAAGACAAGATGACATGTGCTGAAACTGGTGGCAGAATAATGTTTCAGACTCTGTCATTCACACAGTGCATTTGTGTTAATGATTCTAATCATCTTCACACAGCCAGCTCAGCAAACAACAGCCCTGGCTCCTGTCACACTGTCACCAGCTCACCAACACTCTGCATGCAGCGATAAAGGCTGGTAGAGCAGCCGATGCAAAGCTGGGTGGCTGGTTTTGTGGGCCAGAAGGGATGAAAAGGATGTAATACTTTAAATTCTCTGAAAGCTAAATGTCGCATTATACAATCACTTCTCAGCTGTAGGCATTACTTTGTCTGACAGGTTTGACTGTTGTTTCCCCCTGCCGTTTTCTTATTCTTAGGGACAAGGTTAAAAGACCTATCCAAGAGATGGTGGCTGCTTGTCTGAGGTTGGAGAGATGCCCATGGGGCCCCAAAGAGCGTGCATGCCTCAATGAGCAAGCTGAGTCCACTCCTCACTGACAATTTCACTCTCTCGGTGGAAGTCTTCCCTTAATACCTTATGTAACAGAGCAGAGCTTCTAGAAGAGTATGCCATGGAATCTCTCTCACCTGGTATATTTATTGCCCCACTAAAATGTGACTGGGAACTAGAAAGCAAGGTGCCACAATGTAGGCAACCACAGACGTGGCCCATTTGTTAAAAGAATTATCCAGATTTTAGCTTAGCCTTCAAAATCATACTACCTCCCTCAGAACAGGGAAGGTGGCAAATGGCCAGCAGGACAGCATGCTGGCTAAGATTCCTTGGCCACAGGGAGAGGAGTCACCAGGAAGGTCTTCCCAGTGCTTCAGGACGTGAACACCTTTTACCAGGCTTGCAAAGATCGGCGAGAAGGGTCAAACACGCAGTCTGGATGGCCCTCTCCCCTCCATACTCCCTGGAAGAGGCCCACCCTCAATGTCCTTTCGGAAAGGTCCAGCAGGTCTCTATGACCCTGAACATCAGACCTGCTGCCCAACTCTACACCCACCAGGGCAGCAACTGCGTGGACCCTCCCTCCTTATCAACCAGCACGGTGGCTAGCCCAAGAGAAGGAACCCAACACACACACAGTGGGTGAATAAATAAACATAAAACATAACTGCCAGGTAGCAGGTCCTGAAACAAATACGAGAAACAACATGAAGATTATGCCATTCTGTGCCCACTTGTCTCTATAGGTATAGTTTCTAAAGTACTCGATTTCTTTTTGAAGGCTATCGTCAAAGTTCTCAGATGCATTTGGATTCCCAGGGAAGCTCTTAAAGACATCAAGATAACTGTGTTGATTTGACCAGCTGAAGCAAGATGAACCAGAGTCTGACTTCTATCATTACTGCCCAGTTTCAGCTGGAGCCTTCCCACACTCGTGCGAACAGTAATTACAAAGGCGGGAAGAGTTAGCGTACGTGGGGCCTTTACCAAGCACCAGCGCCATGCTGAAGAATTCCTATCTTCTCAACAGTTCAACAGCGTAGGCGCAATTCTTCTCGCAGTTTTATAGATGAAGATACTGAGGCTCAGACACATCCAGTGAGGTGACCTTGAGCAGAACAGGTAAGTGACGGGGCCATGATGCAAGCCCAGGTCCAGCCGATGCTACAGCCTGGAGTCACGGGCATTATAAACGGTTGCCACGCCTCACTCCCGTGTCCTCTTGTTTCACAACGTTTACTGTCCAGTCAGTATTAAACGTTAGCATCTGTTTTGCTCAGGGCTGGATTCTATCAACTGATAGGCCACCACACTTCGATCATCCAAGAAAAATGGCTCAAATGATTTTGCTTGCTGGAAATTTTTTCTTGAATGGCAAGCTCTTCTCTGTTCTGAGAATTTATTCCCCTCCTAAAATATGGTCAGGAACTGGAAGGTGGAGCTGTCACCACTTAAACAGATACCTGCTTCTCTACCAGCACTTCCCCAACTGGAACGTGTGAACGGTTCGCTGGAGGATCTTGTTACAAAGCAGGTTCTGATGCCCCAGGTCTAGGATGGGGTCTGAGTATTTCTAACAAGCTCCAGGTAACACTGATAAAGTGTGGCCCATGGACCAGCACTAAGAGTCAGGGATATAGAAAACACCAGGAAGCAGAATCCAGATTCTCTGAACCCCAAACTCAGTTCCGAGAGAGAATAATACGTGTGGAACGGAACATTCTTCAGCTAAACAATATAGGAAACAAGCTATCCTGTTGGGATATCCTAGGGTGTGGCCCTAGGCTTCAAACCAATCTAAAGATCTATGGGACATGATCTTGGTGGGTACCAACACCATGCAGCTTCTTGAACCATCACATTCGTTCATCTAGGCCGTACATACACCATCAATGCTGTTTAGTATCCTTAGCAACCAATCCACCAATGTGTAGCTATCCTTCATAAACGTCAGCTCCATAAGAATGGTCATGGTTCAAGGTTAGGTTCATGGTCCAGTAGCAGTGCCCCAACAGGCATAAACAGGAACCAGTCCAGAAAGGCAGGCAGAAGTCAAGTGAAAGCCTGAGCAAAGAGCCCTGAGATGCAGCGCAGAATGGAAAAGACCAAACTGCTGTCCCCTTATAACATCAAGTGCTTCTAACTTTTCAACTTTCTTGTTCCATCCTCATCAGAGAGACAATACACCTGGAGCGAGGCAAAGATGGACTGGCCCACTGAAACAACAGCATTGGAAAATGGGTCCCCACAAAGAGAAAACAGATCAGAGGTGTATACGAATACACATATGGACAAATGTGTGTATACATGTCCACATATGTACACACACAGTGTAAGAACATCAGTGGCCTCCCTCTGCGTCCTCAGCTTCACAATGTGCTTCTCAGCCACTTCCACAGTATTGGGCACTTCACCACCTCCAAGGGACAATACCACACAGGATGCAGGCAGTCCTCTTACCAAACGGAGCACCCGAGAGTTCTTGTCATTTGGATGCTTATATGTTCCAGGCACCACACCAAGTGCTTTCCACACATTATCTTATTTATTCATGCAACAACACCAGAATAAGGATCACGGTGACCAGCTGTCAGATGAGCAAACTGAGGGTGGTGGAAGGTAATTAACTCGTTCACACTCATGCCCAGCCTACAGAACAGCCAAGGGCTCAGAAACCAGATCCACTGAACTAAAATGCCAGTGCTCTTCAATGGTCCACTAAACTCCCCTCACCCAGTATCCCGAGACCCACCATGGAAGCCACCATTCTGACAGCGTGTGGAGTGCTGACCTCAAGGCCAGGAAACTTACATTGCCCTCCTTTTCAAAGTCAGGTGGAAGAAGCTTCACGAAGTTATCAGGGAACACTCCTCGTCTGCCGTTGAGTTCTCCTTCCCACCAGCCCACGTCGATGCAGTCCTAGGAGACGGGAGAGCAGAGAGTGAGAAATGGGGCAAGTACCCTCCGGCGAGGTCCCACACCCCTGTTAGAGAGAATGGGGGCCCTTTCCTTGAGGCCACTATCAACACAACAGTGGTTAATGAGACGAAGTGAGCACAAATCTCCAAGTCAGATGGGAGAACAAAAGCGCAAGTGCGCTAGAGCTGCTGGTTGGGACTCAGAACCCAGTGCTGCCGTCAGATGCCCCGCATTAATCTGATCTGCTTTTCTTTAAAGATGGGAGGATATGTATTTTCTTCATCTTAATTTTGCTGAAATAAAATTATTTCAGTAACTGCAAACATGCTTTAGGAAATACCACATGCACAAATGTTCTCTTTGATTAGCCTGTCACAAAGCTTATGGAAATTAAAAAGGACTTTGCGACAGTCAGCCAAGCATAAGAAAAATCACACTTCTGGCAAGCTCGTAAATGCACTGCTCTTCCTGACCTTCTCCTCTCCGTGGTGATGGGGCACGGTGGTCATCATGAAAAGCCCTTCCCCCACCTTACAGAACTCAATGTTCGCTTACTAAATGAAAGAATAAATCTATTCATTCTTCCAGATCAAACCTGCTGCCCTTCAAATACTCCCTATTCTGTTCTTTCACTCGTCAGATGTTTTTTTTTTTTTTAAAGATTTTATTTATTTATTTGAGAGAGCGAGAATGAGAGAGAGTACATGAGAGGGGGGAGGGTCAGAGGGAGAAGCAGGCTCCTCGC